GTTAATTTGATCTTAAACAAACAGAAATAGAAAATTTAAAAAAGAGTACTGGACTAAAATGCAATAATTACTTGGTCGGCCGATGGCTTCACAAGTGAAGACAGCTCTTCTGTTGTAAGGCGAAGTAGTATCAGCTGGCTTCACAACTATCTGAGGCTTCGATCCGCCCATTTCTTGAATCTTGATCGGTGATGAGGGCAACGATGGAAAGCCTTTTCCAACATTATTAACAGCAATTATACGGAATTCATAGTCTCGGAATTCAATCAAATTAGGGACCGTAAATTCCGGTTGTTGAACGTTATAGTCACTTACTGTACGCCACAAAGAACTTCCAAGTTCACGCATTTCAACAATGTATCCAGTAATCTTGGAACCGCCATCATCTAGTGGTGGTGCCCAAGTCAGTGTCACATGGTTACGACCTATAGAAACAGCATTGATTTGCGTTGGTGGTCCGGGCGGTCTGAATTTTGGTTTTAATTCCACAGTTTCGGTTGCAGGAGACGGTTTAGACAAACCAGCGGCGTTCTTCGCAATTACTCGGAATTGGTATTCTCCGCGATCCCTCAAATTAGATACACGGAAATGAGTCTCTGGAATAGGTTGCGTACTCGCATTTATCCATTTCGAAGAAGCAGATTCCTTATACTGCACGATATATCCAAGAATTTTAGAACCTCCGTTTGGTGGTTCATCCCACTCCAATTCAACCCACGTGCTATCAATATCCTTCACTGCTGGAGCATCAGGCTGCCCAGGAACATTGAACTGGTACTTAGCAATTATAGCTTCGGGAATTTCAGTTGGTTCTGAAACGCCATATTGGTTTTCTGCTCTAACTCTAAACTTGTATTTTTCATTTTCTTCAAGTCCCATAACAGTGTAAGTCGTTCCGCGGACAAATGAAGATGCCTTCTCCCACTTTTCGTCCAAAGCTGATTTAACATGACATTTTTCGACTATGTAGTTCGTAATGTGAGAACCACCATCTTCGTCGGGTGGCTGCCAGCTTAAGACGCAGGAATCTGGAGATATTTCTGAAGCAGTCAAATTCTTTGGTGGCGAAGGCTTGTCGACAACTAATAGTCGAACATCAATGGTATCCGACCCGGCATCATTTTCGAGCTTGAAAAAATGTTGCCATCATTACTTGTTAAAAAAAACGCTTCACTAGAAGCGCAAAATCAGCAATATAAAAAACTGCCTACTTTTATTGTGTAAACTCCAGAGTCTCCAAGTTCGCATTTGTCGTAGCACAGCTGAGTGAGGAAGTCATTAGATTCTATCTTTGCGCGTTTATCGTCCTCACTAATTGGCGTACCCTTCTTTTTCCATGTTATTTCCGGTGCAGGGCTAGATGCGAATGGAATCAGAATCTGTAAATAATTTAGAGCCGTTTGTACCCGCTAGAGCGAAGAGTATGCATGAAATGAATACTACATTAAAGAAGCAAAAATGCAAAAACAGACCTTAGCAGGGGTTCCAGCGTAAGCCACAATATCACGTCCAAGCATAGAAAGCTGAATCCTTGGCTTAGAAACTTCAACTTGCGCAGTTATCGGAACCGAGTTTTCGCTCCATTCGCCTTGTCCAGCAGCGTTTACTGCAGCGACTCGGAACTCGTACCTCTTTCTAGGCGTCAGGCCAGTAACCTTAAATTCACCATTGGTTTAGAAATGGCGTGCGTAAGCGCCGTAAAAAAAGGCAAAAAAAGCTGATGAATTTTAAAAGAATTACTTTATATTGAATGTCGTTGATTGTTCCGTAGGCGCACTTAACCCAATTAGACGTTCCTTCTTCTTTCTTTTCTAGAACATATCCCTGAATCGGAGAACCGCCATCTGATATAGGCCTTGACCACTGCAGTGTTATGGAATCATCAGTGGCAGCTATTGCTTCTGGTTGCCCAGGTGGACCAGGAGTATCTAAAGTACGAATGAAAAAAAAATAAGTCGGCTTTTTAAAATATTTTGGAGTAGATGTCATTTATTCATATTGCATACCAAACGGATTCTTTGCAACTAAAGGTTCTGTAGTTTCCAGTGGTTTGCCAACACCATACTGGTTTTCAGCAGAAACGCGGAACTCGTAGGCCTGCCCGTTTTGAAGGTTCCGGACGCGGAAACTGGTACCCACAGGCTGTGCAATTTTAACCCATTCACCATTTGGCTGCTTTTGTTCAACAACGTAGTTTGTCACGTCGTCACCTCCGTTGTCTAGCGGAGGATTCCAGTGTAATGTCATTGCTTCTCCGCTTACATCTGTAGCCGTTATTGGACCGACCGGTGGACCAGGTGCATCCAGAACGTTGACATTGAGTTTGGCTGTATCCTTGCCAAAGCGGTTCGATAAATTAATTTTGTATGGACCGGCGTCTGATCGTTGTGCATTTTCCGTTATTAATTTGACAAAACCAGGCTCAACCTGCAAAAAAAAAGTATTTCAGCACAAGAAAAAAGGCAAGAGGAAATTTTCATTGATTATTAAGTTGATCATAATTGTTTTATAATACATAAAAAGAAAAATTTACAGTGATTTTTGTCCGGTCATCTTCATAGATTTCTTTAGATCCATTGAAAACTTCGGCAAGCGGTTTCGGATTTCCACCAGTGTAGGGTATTTTTATTTCGATTGTTTCTCCAGCCCTGACAGTAATGTCTTTTAGTCCAGAAAGGTCCAGGAAAGGTTTACCAGGCTGATCCTCTATGACTGTCATGTCTGTTGGCTTTGAGGGTTCGCTTTCCCCCGCCGCATTCACTGCTTTTACTCGGAATTCGTATGTCTCCTTTTCTTCTAATGGTTGTACCACAAGAGAGGTCCCTTTGACAGGGCTTGAAGTGCACGGTTCCCAATCTTTTGTCCCAGCCTTCCTTTTCTCTACTATATAACCTTCAATAGGAGCACCGCCATCTTTAGATGGTTTCATCCAAAGAATTTCTGCAGAGTCCTTTGTCACTTTTCCTACTCGAGGTTGATCTGGTGCTGCCGGAGGAGTTACATACGGTCTACACATCGTAGGTTCACAACCACCACTAGGTTCTCCTTCACCTGCAGCATTTACTGCCTTAATGCGGAACTGATAAGTTTCGCCTTCAGCAAGTCCAGTAATTACGGCTTCAGTACCTCTAATCAGAGGCATTTTTACAACTGACCAATCTCCACCTCCTTTCTTCTCAAATTTCTCCACCAGGTAACCGAGAACTGGAGACCCACCGTCATTTCTAGGCGGGTTCCATTTAAGAGCAATACGATCAGTATTGTAACCAGTAACTTCAGGAGTAGATGGGGGACCAGGAGGATTGTAAGGATCTTTCACTATTACAGGTTCTCCAACTAACGGTTCGCTGAAGCCGACCATATTTTCAGCTCTGATTCTGAATCTGTATTGTTTTCCATGATCCAAAGCTCTTACTGTATACGAGAGTGCGTTGACAGTCTCTAGAGCCCTCTCCCACGTCGTTGTGCCAACTTCCTGATATTCCACTCTATAACCGGTAATTTCAGATCCTCCGTCATCTAAAGGTGGCTTCCATGCGACTGTAACAGTTCTTCTAGTTGTGTCTGGGTAAGTTACAGGTCCCTCTGGAGGGCTAGGGCGATCTAGCACAGAAATCTTAATTTCTGCTTCAGCACTGCCGTACGTGTTGGTTGCTAGAATTTTACACATTCCTGAATCGGAACGCTTAGTAACGGGGATAGTTAAAGTTGTCTTCCACTCATCTGTTTCTACTCCAGACAGGTCACGTCCGTCTTTACTCCATGTAATATCTGGTGCTGGTGACGCAGTGTAAGGAATTGATATATTTAGTGGTTCGCCAGCCCGTACTCTGAATTCCTTTCCGTTTATGTCCATCTCGAATCTTGGTGCTTCAAACATTGGCTTAGCAGTAATCAAGCCAGAAGAATCAGATGGTTTTCCAGGTCCCGCTTTGTTGACAGCGGTAACGCGGTACTCGTAAGTACGACCTTTCTGAACACGTTCATCGCAGAAACTTGTACCTTTCACGGGACTGGTGTTGACTTTGATCCATCTACCAGTTTTCACGTCTTTTCTTTCAACGTCGTAATGCGTGATTGGGTTTCCTCCATCATCTCGCGGACTCTCCCACTGAATCTCAATGTGATCTACATCTTGGTCCACAACTTGAGGTTTACCTGGTTTACCAGGAACTCCAAATGGATCCTTTGCTAAAACAGGTGTTTCAGTAGAAAGCGGAGCAGACTGACCGTGAATATTTTCAGCCATAATTCTAAATTCGTATTCATGTCCCTCCACAAGCTTGGGCACAGTCACTGTAGTGCCTGGCACGAAAGCTGACACAGGTACCCAGGTATTTGATTGAGTGTCTCGCTTTTCCACTACGTAGTTGCTAACTTCCGCTCCACCGTCATCTTCAGGAGGCTGCCACGATAAAGTACAGCTATCTTTTGTAACATTGGAGACCTCAACTGGACCCTTTGGTGGAGAAGGTTTGTCCAGTACAATGACTTCAAAGGTACCGGATGTCTCGCCAACCTCATTGCTTAATTTTAAAACATAGTTTCCACTGTCGCTCCTCTTAGCCGAAGGGAAGAATACACTTGTTTCACCATGTTTCGTATTTACTATTAACTGTTCTGAAATTGGTTGGCCATCCTTCATTTCCCAGTTAACCGTTGGTTCGGGTGACCCAACGAACTGAGCTTCAACCGTCAGGGACAATCCTGCCTTGACTTTGAACTTTCTAGCAGGCGACGTTATTTCTGGCTTGACATAACGTGCTCTGGCTACCTGAGAATCAGATGGTTCAGAAGGTTCAGAGTTACCAGCTTCGTTAACCGCAGTAACTCTAAATTCATATTCTGCTCCTGGTTTCAATCCCTTTGCTGAAAATGAAGTTTCAGCACCATCTGTTTTGCCAGCGACCGTCCATAACGGGCTTCCCTTTTCTTTCTTCTCAATGATATAATTTTGGATTGGTGATCCACCATTGTCAGTTGGTGGTTTCCATTCAATATCAATCCTATCACTATCCCAGTCTGTAACCTCAGGCTTCGCAGGCGCTTGTGGAACTTCAAATTGATTCCTAGCAACAACCTCAGGACTCTCTAAAGGTTTTGATTCTCCTTGCAGGTTGACGGCTTTAATCCTAAACTTGTATTCTTTGCCGTTTGTCAAATTTTTAATTTTTGCGTTACATTCTGGGAATTGTCCAACTTCTTGCCATGCTCCTCGAGTAGTGTCCATTTTCTCAACCACATAATAAATAATATCTGAACCACCATCGTCTACTGGTGGCTGCCAGCTAAGACTACATCCCTCTTTGCTGACGTCCGCTATCTTAACAGGTCCTCTCGGTTCTTCGGGGACGTCCAGGACAGTTACTTGGCAAGAAGCTTTATCTTTTCCGTGCTCGTTTTCTACAGAAAGAGTATAAACTCCAGTGTCACCTCTCGCCGAGAAAGGTATGAAAATTTTGCTAGTTTTTTCAGTTGTTGTTATTTCGACTCTTTCATTAACGTTGAGGGGCTTGTCATTTATCTTCCAAGTTGCCTTCGGTTTTGGTTCACCCTCAAAGTTTACGTCCAAATTAATCGGTGTTCCAGCCTTCACACGGATGTCCAAAAGACCTCCGAGATTTATTTTTGGTGCCATTTTTCGTGGCTTGGCTTCAATGTCTCCAGTTGGATCAGATGGTTCTCCTTTACCAGCTTTGTTGACGGCTCTTACTCTAAACTGGTAAATCTCGCCAGGATGGAGGTCTGGTGCAGTCGCTTTAGTAACATTACCAGGCACTGTTACACATGGAACCCAGTCTCCAAATTTATCTTTCTTTTCAACCACATAACTTTCTATCGGTGCTCCACCATCATTAAGCGGAGCTTTCCATTCGAGATCTACGTGATCCTTATCCCAGTCGACAGGCACAACATCAGTTGGTTTCCCTGGCTCATCGAAAGGATTCTTAGCAAGAACAGGACTATCTGATGTTAATGGTTTCGACTGTCCTTGTCTATTAACGGCTTTCACTCTAAATTTGTACTCTTGACCTTCTACTAGCTTATTAACTCTAAACGTCGTGTTTGTTGCCTCACCGCACGGGACCCAACGGCCATTCGCCTCTTGTTTTTCCACGGTATAATGTGATATAGGACTTCCACCATCATCTTCTGGTGGAGACCACTGCAAAGTGCAACTTTCTTTCGTAACTTCTTTTGGAAGCAAGGGACCTACAGGTTCCGACGGCACATCCAAAACAACAACGTTAACTTCTGCTTCGTCCTTTCCATTTTCGTTTGTTGCAACAATTTTGTAAACTCCGCTATCAATTCTGGTAGCATTCGTAGTTTTTAACTTTGTATTATTGTTTACTGAATTGTCAATTTTTGTTCTATCAGATGACACAAGAGGTGTTTCATTGATAAGCCAAACTATCTTTGGATTAGGTTCGCCCTCCACATTAACATTAAATTCGATTTCGCCTCCAGCCTTCACTCTGATTTCCATAAGTGCTTCACGATCTATTTTTGGTGGCAGATTTCTCGGCTTTGCTACCATAGAACGGCTTGGATCTGAAGGTGTTGAAGCTCCAGCTTTATTAATGGCTTTAACGCGAAACTGGTAAGTTGACCCAGCCTTTAAGTGATTAACAGTAGCTGAAGTCTTATCTGCAGGAACCTCTTCTGCGTACTCCCAATCTCCGTTTGCCAACTTTTTCTCAATAACATATTTTTCTATAGGAGCACCACCATCGTTAAGAGGGGCGGTCCATTCAAGATCGGCATGATCCTTATCCCAGTCAACAATTTCTGGCGTACCGGGCTTGTCAGCAGTATCGAAGGGATCTTTAGCTATAATAGGAACTGCTGATTCAAGAGCATCAGAATCGCCATACCGATTAACAGCTTTGACACGAAATTTATACTCATGTCCTGAAGTAAGGTCATCTACTTTAAGGCTGGTTGTTTTTGTTTCACCACATGGAGCCCATCTGCCTGTGTTTAGATCTTGTTTCTCGACAACATAATGACTGATTTCAGCTCCTCCGTCGTCATCTGGCTCTTTCCATTGTAGAGTGCAACCATTTTTGTTCACATCACTAATTGCAAGAGGTCCATTTGGCTCGCTTGGCCGGTCTAATACAGTAACTTTTACTTCTGCTGTATCAGTACCACTCTCGTTTTTGGCTGTTATCAAATACGTTCCCGTATCGGAACGCAAGGCTCTTTTAACTGTGAATTTAGTCTTGTAATCAACATTGTCTACTTTCATTCTATCAGTTGACTCTACAGGTTGATCTTTAAAGCTCCATGTTACTTCTGGAGGTGGCTCACCAGACACTGGAATGTTCAGTTGGAAGTCAGTGCCTGCACGTACCCTGATTTCTTCAATGGCGCTTCTGTCAATCTTTGGAGCCAGATGTCGTGCTTTTGCGATAATGGAGTCAGTTGGCTCTGAGGGTTCACCTACACCAGCTTTATTTTTCGCTTTTATTCGGAACTGATATTCTTCACCTTGTTTAAGGCCGTTAACTGTTGCTGCTAAGGACCCAGCGGGAACTTCTTTTACTTCTTTCCAGAAAGGCGAGAATTTTTCTTTCATTTCAATGACGTACCCTTCAACTGGAGCTCCACCATCATTAATTGGTGGCTTCCACTGTAGGTCAACATGGTCTTTGTCCCAGTCGACGACTTCTGGTTTATCGGTTTTTCCTGCAATCACATATTTAGCCTGTAATTGAAATGTCGCTGAAATTACATTAATCCTTTATCTTGTAGTAGAACGATAAATTTTTCTTGCACTTTACTGATGCAAAAATTTTTCAGAAAACAAAAGAGAAGTACCAACTGGAAATTATATTAACCTGGCGTATCATATGGATTTTTCGCTAATGTCGTTCCAATAGTCTCTAACGGAGCAGATTCTCCTTCTCCGTTAACTGCTGACACTCTAAATTTGTATTCATGGCCCTGAACTAACCCATCAACCACAGCAGTGGTGACTCCAGCGTCTGTCTAAAATTAGTGATTCTTAGTCATGTTTTACAAGATACCCGTAGATGACATAGAAGAATGTTACTGTCGAGAATTCCATAGAGAAAATCTGACCTTTGCGCATGGAACCCAGTGTCCAGATGCGGCATCAAACTTTTCAATCACATAATTCTCTATTGGTAAGCCGCCGTCATCCTGAGGTGGTTTCCAGTCCAGTTGAACATGGTCAGCATGCACGTCGGTAACATCTAGTGGCCCTTCCGGCGAAGAGGGTTTATCTGAATCAAGAAATTAAACACTTTTAAAAAACTTGTATTTTTAAACTTCATAATACGAAGAGGTAAAAGATACAAAGATAATTTTGTCAAATAGAACTTACCAATTACATTAACTTTAACTTCAGCCACATCTTCACCATTAATATTTCTGGCACGAATTGTATATCTTCCACTGTCTGACCTTTCTGCAGTTCGTATTTGAAGTTTTGTCTGATAATCTGGATTATCCAATTTAACGCGACCACCATGCTTCAACTCCCGACCTTCCGGATTCAGCCAAGTAATTACTGGCGGTGGTTCACCTTCAACTGGAACGTCAAAGTTGATCGTCTGGCCAGCTCTGACTTGCAGTGTTTGCAGTGCAGATCTGTCAATTTTTGGTGCCACTGAAACATCCCATTTTACAACAAAATGTGATAAGAGAAAAGGAGTTTAAAAGAATGATTGCATTATACATTAGCAAGCAAATGCCGTTGAATAAGCTTACGGTTCTTTGGCTTAGCAACAACTGGAACGCTGGGTTCACTTGGTTCCGAACTGCCCCCTTTGTTAACCGCAATAACTCGAAATTCGTATTCTTCTCTAGCAGTGAGATCTGGTATAGTAGCTGCGGTTACGTCTCCAGGAACTTTAACGGCAGGTTCCCAACTAAAAAAAAAAAGAATTTGACTTGGAGTTTTTTACAATAAAGAAACTATTTAAGAAAATATAACCGTCATTTTACGAAATTCACAACTTAAAAAGCAGCAAATTGTATCCCTCAACAGGGTTGAAAAAGTGGTATGTAAATGTAGCTGCATACCGTCCATATTTTGTTCGTTTTTCTATCTGGTACTCTTCAATAGGAGCACCGCCATCACTTTCAGGCTTAGCCCACTCGATATCAATGTGATCGTTGTCCCAGTCGACTGGTACGGGTTTTCCAGGTCTACTAGGCTTTTCATATGGGTTCTTTGCATGAATAGTGGAATCTGATTCTAGCGGTTCAGACTCACCCTCAGCATTCACAGCTTTAATTCGGAATTTGTAATGCTTGTCTTTAGTCAGTCCGTCAGCTACAAAGTTAGTATCTTTGGTACGCCCACACGGGACCCACATCCCGTCTTTAGTGTCCATTCTTTCCACCTCGTACTAAAATACCTTAAGTTTAGTTTTAATCGAAATTTGCAGTAGTCGTAACAAATAGGTAAGAAGTCACTGAAAGAAACTTACGTATTCAATGGGAACACCACCATCGTCATCTGGAGGCTTCCAGTCTAAGGTCGCACGGTCTTCGAAAACATCATTAATTCCCAGAGGACCTTTGGGTTTCCCTGGCTTACCTTGTACGTGGATTTCGAAAGTAACTGAATCTGTGCCGTTTTTATTTGTGGCAGTTATAGTGTACTTTCCTGATTGCTTTCTAAAAATTCATATCTGTATTGACGTTCTTGCACGTAAAGTAACCAAAAGTGTTCCAAAATTTTTGAAGCGTCATCGGCTTGAAAGTCAAAAGCATACTGTCGACTAGAAAAACAAACCTATTAGCTTTTCCTACTGCAAACTTTGTTATATACTCAATGTTTTCAATAACAGTGGTTTGCTCAACAGCTTTTCCATTTAACTGCCAGTGAATTTCTGGTGCTGGCTCGCCATCGACATGAACCGTGAATCTAACAGCTTCCCCAACTTTCACTGTCATGTCTCTTATGTCTTCTCTGTGTATATGAGGCGCCACTAAAAAAATATGAATTTTTTTTTGATTTGAACTTATATAGAAATGCTATATTTTGAAGTCATAAAAAGTTCAAAATAAAAGATCTTTCTTCCTAAACTGCATAAAAGAACTCATTGACGGAACGAAACTTACGGTTCCGAGGTTTAGCAATTACACGATCGCTGGGCTCCGACGGCTCACCAGGACCTGCTTTATTTTTCGCTATTACACGGAACTGATACTCTTCCCCAGCTTTTAAATTGTCAACTGTTGTTGCGCATTCGCCACTGGGAACCTTAAACACATTGCCAAAATTACAATGTCGCAGAACCAGAGATTCAGGCAGTAAATGTTAACGATTAAGACTTCTTTAAGCTTACCCTCTTAGCCTCCTCCCATCTTCCATGTTTATCTTTCTTCTCAATGATATATTCTTCAATCGCAGCTCCTCCATCATCTGGTTTCTTCCACTGAAGATCGACATGGTCTTTGTCCCAGTCAACTACATCTGGTTTTTCAACTTTTCCTGGTACATCAAATGGATTTTTGGCTAAAGTACCATCTTCAGTGACCAAAGGATCAGATTCTCCCTCTTTGTTCACCGCTCGAACGCGGAACTAAAAATTAAAAAGCAATGCAGCGTTCGTTCTGTACGTTAAAAAAGAAATCATTTTACCAAAAAAAATTTATCGCCTCAAGTTTTCTTCTGAATAATATTATAATATGGTATAAATGTTTTGCCGAAAAGAAGAATCACTTGGTATATTTTTCCCGGTTGCAAGTTGTTTACTACTGCTTTTGTGGCATCAGTTCTGCCGCACGGTACCCATCTGCCAGTGGCAGTGTCCATCTTTTCAATATCGTAGTGATCAATTGGGCAGCCGCCATCGTCCTCTGGCGGTTTCCATTCGAGCGTCATATGGTCTTCAAAGACGTCAGAAACTTGAAGCGGTCCTGCAAAAAAGTTTTTGATATGCCAAACTTCAAGTGCTTTCTAGATTAATGGGAGTAGGAGGTAATTTAAGCGACAAATTAGTAATTGCTTATAAATACCTTCCGGAGCGGCTGGACGTCCAAGAACAATGATTTCAACAGTATGTTTGTCCGTACCGTTCACATTTGTTGCTGTCAGAGTATACATGCCTGCATGTTTTCTAGTTGCATCTTGCAAAACAAAGTGTGTTCTGTAGTCTTCGTTGGTTATCTGAAAATTAATTCAGGAGTTAGTAGTTTATGAAAACCATAAACTCTGGAAATAAGCAATATTTCATTAATCCGACAAACCTTTATTTTAGTGTCGGATTCTATTGTTACTGTTTCATTGAATGTCCATACAGTCGTTGGTGGAGGTTCACCCTTGACGGGCACATCAAACTCGCAACCATGACCGACTTTTATTGTCATCGTCTGCATTGCCTCACGATCAATATGTGGTTTTACTAGAAAAATGGTTTTTTTCTGAGATTCTAAATTGAGGGCAACAGAAGTGCTTGAAATGCTGCATTTTTGGCTTCAGAGAAAGAAGAACAATAATCTTCATCAAAGTTTTGCTAATTTGCATTAATCCGCATTCAACAGTAGTAGTGCTTACGGTTTCGGTGTTTTGCTATGACTTTTCTGCTTGGTTCGGATGGTTCTCCAGGCCCAGCTTTGTTAACAGCTCGCACTCGAAACTGATATTCCTCGCCCTCTTTGAGATTTCGGATATCTGCCTTACATTCAGGGCCAGTTTTACCACATTCTGTCCACTCTCGGCCATGTTTTGGTTTCTTTTCGACAATATAACCAGAAATGGGAGCTCCACCATCCTAAATGGAAGTCATTGGAAATCGCCTGTGATAGCTAATGATAATAATCTTAATGTGTTTATAACTTAATAATTTAAATAGTATTAGTGTCTAGAAAATCTGTATATCGAAAGAGTAATATATGTACAGCTCTTACATTTGCTGGGGGTTCCCACTGCAGTTCCACTCTGTCAATGTCCCAGTCTGTAACTTCCGGTGTGCCAGGTTTTCCAGGCTCGTCTACAATTGAAAGTTAAGCTCTGCTTACGAGTATAAAAAATGTGATTCTTGAAAGTTCATTAACATATTATTTATCTACTATTATGCAGAACAGCAGCAACGTTTGGGCAAAATTCATAATCTTTATTAAATGGAGAAAGAAGGAAGCAAAACTCACCGTATGGGTTTTTGGCCAAAATTTCATGATCAGTAACAAGTGCATCGCTAGCTCCTTCGCGGTTCACCGCTTTAACTCTAAACTGATATGTTTGTCCCTTGCGAAGGCCATCAATATGCGCTTTTACATCTCTAACTTTTGCGCATGGAAGCCATCGTCCAGTGTCCATGTCTAATTTTTCGACTTCGTAATACTCAATCGGCTCTCCACCGTCGTCAAGAGGAGGTTTCCATGCCAAATTTAAGTTGTCTTCAAAAACATCCGATACCTGCAGTTACAATTCGTTATTTTTTGGCATTTTTGCCTAATCAACTGTAGAATAAATAGTGTCAGTAATATTCACACAAAAATATTTTTTCATTTTTTACTATTCTTACTTGGAGAGGACCCTGCGGGCAACTTGGACGATCTAAAACGATAAGTTCCGCCTCTTCACTGTCTTCTCCTGTAGAATTTTTGACAGTTAAACGATATTTGCCACAGTCTGCTCGAACAGTAGTCATTATGCAAAGAATAGTATGATCGTGTCTTTTAGTTTCAACCTGAAAAAGTATGATAAACAGCAAATGTCTAAGCACAATTCCGACATTTTAGGTATTTATGGACATTCCACTAAATCTGCACTGCGTCATCTCCTACCTGAAGCGAACCTCCTTCTTCCAAAATGGTTTCATTCTTGTACCACTTAATTTCTGGAGCTGGCTCGCCACCAATCTGGACATCCCATCTTGCTGACTGGCCAGCCTTTACTGTGAGGCTTTTCAGCAGATCGTGTTTCAACCAGGCAGGCACTATAATTAAATATATTTAACTTTCAAAAATTTAACCAGTTTTAGGTAAAATAGAGATTGTTAGAAAAAGTGGAGAAACTTTTTTGTTAAAAGTGGAAAATTCAGCAAGAAAGTATAAAAAACAATTTCAAGATTTTTTAAAATGGATTTTCCCTGAAGATGAGAATATTTATTTTCACTTCCGCAGATAATTCTCATAATTACGCGTTCAGTTCTGTGAAGCACTTACCAAACTTCGGCTTAGCAAGCTGCCTCTCAGATGGATCGCTAGGATGTCCAGGTCCTGCTTTATTCACGGCCTTTACACGAAATTGGTATTCTTCTCCCTCTTTCAAGTTCTTTATGGAAGCACTTGTAGCTGCAAATTATTCGAACAAATAAACTAGACTTGAACAATTTTTATCTATATATAGAGACCATAAAAAGCTCAAAGTTCAGAGGAAGGAAAATTGAGGTTAAACTCACTTGGAGATCTGGCACATTCTACCCAATCTCGCGTAAAAGGGTCCTTCATTTCAATAATGTACTCTTCGATGGGAGCGCCACCGTCTTTTAGAGGAGGTCTCCATTCCAAATCAATTCTGTCAGCATCGTAGTCGGTAATTTCAGGCTGGCTAGGTTTTCCAGGTTCATCCCATGGGTCTTTTATTTGAACGTACTGTGTGGTGGTTAAGGGGTCTGATTCTCCTTCCTTATTCACTGCCTTTACTCTAAAAGTAGTTTTATAATAACAAAAAGAAATGAATAGTTTTTATAAGCCAAACAATTAGAATTTTAAAATTACCATTCACTATTTTTGATATATATTTTTTAGAAAATTAACCTAAATTTATAGTTCCCTTTGTTTTTCAAACCCGTAACTCTAAATTCAGTTTGATTAGGAGCGACAGTACCCACTGGTACAAACTTTCCTTTTTCGTCAATATCTTGTGCTTCCACAACATAATCTGTAAAAGAAATAAGTTTTCTTTTAGAAACAGAACACAGTTTTGGTTTTCAAAACGTTCCAGCAAATTGCTGGTCAAAACGTGAGGAATGAGAGGAAAAGCAAGATTTATGAACAAACCGAGAAGTTCAGTGCCACCATCATCTTCTGGTGGATTCCAGCTCAACAATGCACCATCGCCACAAATTTCAGAAACTTCAAGCGGTCCTTGTGGTGCAGTTGGTTTCGCTATTACAGTTACTTGTGCCGATGATTCACATTTACCACTGGGATTTTTCATGGTAATCGTGTATTTACCAGTGTCGCCTCTTTCTGCATTTTCAATCTGAAATTTTTTTCAAACGATTTTACAAACGTTTAAATACTGATAGCAGTCTCAAGCAGTCAGCTTTTTAGAGAAAAACGTAACAGTTTTCTAAAAAACCACTAAAACAGAATTATCGAAGTCAAAATTGAATAGATAAAGGCTAGTGTACCTTAAGTACGTGTTTCCCCCTTTCGGTAGTCATTTTTGTTCTGCCAATTGCCTTTAAAGGTTTTCCTTTAGCTGTCCAAATGACTTCTGGTAAAGGTTCAGCAATTATAGGTATGTCGTATTTTATTGTTTCTCCGACTCGTAAAGTGATATCATGAATTCCACCCACAGGAAAGCTTGGAGCAACTGCAGAAAAAGGAAACTTTTTGCTCGAAATAGTACAGAAAGTGCTGGTAAAGAAGAACTACTTTTCTGAAGAACAACTTTTAATAAACAATGGTTTCAACAGAACAGAACCTGGTTTAGCCATAATTTTGAATGCTCTCCCGTGGTCACAAGGATCACCAGGTCCAGCTTTGTTAACGGCCTTGACGCGATAGTAGTACTCTTTGCCTTCTACAACTTTGTCGTCAAGCAGTGAAAAAACTTTTTTGCCTTCAGCACCTGGGACGGTACCAACTTCATTCCAATCTTTTTCAGACTTTTCTCTTCTTTCTACTATGTACTGTTCAATAGGAGCTCCTCCATCACTCTCAGGAGGCTGCCACTGCAGCGTTAACGAGTCCTTTGAAATGTCCGCAGCTTCCATGTTTCTTGGCTTATCAGGAACAGCTAGAAAATTTCATTTCAGAGATCTCAGTAAAATAGAATTATGAAGATTTTAAGGGCTCAAACAAAAAGCATTTCAAATTATACTGTATGGATTTTTGGCCAGTATTGATTCTCCAGTCAATGGTTCTGAAGGGCCGATCTCATTAACTGCTTTGACCCTAAATCTGTACTCGCCATGTTCTTTAAGATCTTTAACCTGAAAATTTTTATGATTCTCAGAATAAGCTACAAAAAATTAATTTACAAGATTTTCTAAACTCAGTATTATTAAAGTTTACTTTAAATTCAGTGCCCTTCGTTTCACCAATTTTCTGCCAGTTGCCAGATCGTCCCTCCTGCACTTCAATAATATATGCCTTAACTGGCACACCTTCTTGTACCTCTGGAGCTTTCCATTTGAGATCGCAACCCTCCGCAGTAATATTATTGGTTTCTAATGGTCCTTTTGGAGGCTTTGGTTTATCCTTCACAAACACTTCAAAGGGAGCTAGTGCTGCACCGCCAGAGTTGCTGAGTTCGAGTGTCCATTTTCCAGTATCTTCTTTTTTCGGGTTCTGTAACCACTATTTCGTCATACTTTGCTTGAGCAATAATATCTAACCAAAGAGTGTTGGATTATGATCACTCTGTTGAAATCTCTAACTCGTAAACAAATTCAGCAACAAACCTTAAATTTAATTTCTGCTACGTCTCCGTTAATGACAACTTCCACTAAATCCTTCAGTTCGAGAAGGTCTACTGGTTTTCCGTTCCTGAGCAGTCTTGGTTTTGGATCACCTCTTCTTGTACCTTTTATAGAAAACGGTACTTTGATAACCTCCGGTTTACCGGCTTCCATTTCAATCTGGAATTACATTTTTTAAAAGAACTTTAAGCTTCTTTTTGAAATTCTTATAATGTACCGACCTGAATAGAAACTTCTGAAGCTCAAACGAGATACCTTTTTAGGTTTCCAGTTGAGAACTGGTTTTTTCTCTGCTTCTAGAACAGTGACGATGCATGAGCCTTCCAGCCCAGCAACGTTAATTTCGTAGGTATCTGCCTCAACCATTTCAATTTTATTAATTTTCAGCGTGTGAACGCCACCCCTGGAGCTGGTTTCGAATTTACCACCTGGCATCGATGTAATAATTTTGCCATTTTTGGACCAAATACCAGGTGTTTTAGTGTCCTAAAAGTAATTTGCTTTTTACCAAAATGCTATCCTTCTTTTCGCAGCCGTCATCCTAGCAATAAAATACCACAATTCAGACAAATAGCCAAACCTTGGTTTCACAGCGAAGATCAACGTCGTCTTTTTCAACTACTTCGACATCCTTCAATTTTACAATAAACTTGTTCATGGCTAAAAGAAGTAAGTTTTAGAGACATAGTTATAGTGCATAATATTTTATTTCTTGAAATTTATTTTTACTAAATTACCAGACATAGCAAGCCCTGGAAAAGTAAAATAAAATGACTGGGTTCCGTAAACGACTTTTTGATAAAGATACGGAAGTATCAAACATCAGGAATCTTCAATGAAATGTTAAGTAAGATGCGGTAAATTGATGCTTACCGTCTACAATAAGTTGCGCTAGTGTAATGTCATCTTTGGTGGTACATTTATATTCACCGTGGTCCTCCAATTTTGCACTGTTTATAGTTAGCCGACGTTTTCTGTTATGAGACTCAATGACAAATTTTTTATTATTCAAATCTATTTTTATTCCATCATGGAACCATTCAACCTCCGCATCCTTGTCATTAACATCACATTCCAATGTTGCTGTATCCTTTTCCATCACTTTTTGTGACTTCAGTGGGATAACGAACGTGTGACGTGGTTCTGTATATCACAAACTATTTTTTTCAGTAACTATATTATGCAGTATAAAAAAGATTAATGAAAGATGCGAGTTTTTTTATACGCAGTTCTAAAATGTCTACCTTCAACATAAACTTGAACTTTGCTGAACACTTCGTTGCTAATTTTAGCCATCCATTCACCCTGATCTTCTTGAATAACTTCCTTAATTGTCAAAGTGAATCGACCGACAGCATCGCTTTCCTGATGAAACCTTTTGTCATTTGGCCTGAAAGATGAAAAATATCGGATACTGCTACCAGGAAGGACGTAGCGTAGGTTAAGAGCGAGCTATTTTAAGCTGCAGATACTACTTGTCCTTTCTGGCAAAATGCGTTGGGCTATAGCAGAGAAGTGAGAAACACTGATGCAGGCTTACTCTACAAGTTTTCCATTGCGATACCATTTCAACGGGGCACGTTTATTATTGACTTTACAAGTTAGTACACCCTGTTTGGTTCGGTAAATTTCCTGTGTATTTGGTAGTGGACTAATGAAACTGTATTTCATCGGAGGTTCTGAAATTGAAAAAAAATTTTAGTATAGTTTAATTCAGTTTTGGTATTGTTCGCAGCATCGTTGAGTAAAAAAGATTATGCAACAAAAGTATTGTAAGTACCATCAACAGTAAGTGTTGCTGTAGTCGGAAGACCGTTTGCTTCACAGGTATATTTACCGCTATCGTCAACTTCTGGATTGTTAATAATCAATGTACATACTGCTTTTTCAATAACAATCTTGTATTTGAGACCACCCTAAAACGTCTCTAATGTGAGATGCGAAAGAAGAAAATGCTGAAGAAACTTCTACTGTCACTATACTATTAATAACCAAAATCAATAATAAACTTTTTTTTCTGATTTTGTAATCAAGTTTTGACACAGAAACTTACGCTAAATATTTCTTTTTTGTCTTTATACCATCTGATTTTGGCATTAGGGCGAGAATATACGCATTTCCACTCGCAAATTTTGTCCACTTGTTGTTGAACAGTCTTGTCTTCTAGAGGTACTTCCCACTTTTCAACTTTCTTACCAGGGAATAAAGACTGTCGCCTTTCGGCCTCTGTCATTGGTTTATCGTCCTTCTTACCACCTTTAGAGACATCCTCTTTTAACGAATCTGATGCACCGCCCTCATATTCCCTAAAGGTCATGAGTCGCTTTTTTGTAATTTAAGCGTTTGATAAAGTAAGCGATTTTTTAACAATTTGTTGCTTAATTTATCTCTTCTGAATCTGTTCCTTTCTTTTAGCTTTTGTTTTCTTAAAGAAAGAAAATCTTCTACTGTATTATAGTCACAGATATACCTGTGTTTAAGCATAGCTCGGAAATCAAGGCCTGTATCAGAAGTAACTAGAAGTTTAACAGCCACGGAATCTGAACCATGTTGGTTCTCTATGGTAAGGGTATAAGGACCGTCATCTTGAGACCGACATTTTTGAATAATTAAAATTATGCTATTTTCAGCCTGGTCGGTAATAATTCTAAACCGTCCTCCGTTCATGACCTGTAAATTAAATTATCTAATGTACACTATGTAAAATAAATATTTAAATGTTTGAAAAATACTGTTTAATACAGCTTACTAGAATCAGTCACTAGTTTGATAAATAGAACTTAAACTTCATTAAAACTACTAAGTTGGATCACTGAATGCTCAGCAGGGCAAAGAAAACCGGTTTATTGTAATAAAAAATGCAGGCAAACCTCTCGGAGGCCTTTCTGCCATTTGAAGGTTGGTGCAGGATTACCTTCTATTTTGCATTTCATTACCGCCGCCTCATCTGTATTAAAAAAGTAGTCATTACAGGCAATTATGCTTCAATGTACTATTTAGATTGAGGTTTTCAAAATTCAAAGTGAAATTTTTTGCCTTTTAAAAAACCATTTGGACATCCCAGTAGCTAAATAAACGTCTCTTAACAAAAATTATTTTATAACCATATACAAAAACAAAAAAAAAA